ATCCAGGCCGATATGTAACTATTAGCTTTCTGGTATCAGTCAAAGTGCATGGAGTTCTTACCTACCAGGTACCACGAACCAGAACCTGGCCCCCCGCAGAGAAGCACGAGGAGTAACAGCTTATAGAAACCCCCGAGTGGTTGGGAGCATTCTATGTTTGCCATCGACCGGATCTGGCACCCAGAAAGATAGTTGCCCCAAAACAAACCCCCAATCTGGTGAAAATATTGCTACCGAAAGCCGAACAAGTGAACATAACTCCCCAAATGAAAATTGTCAAACAAGCATGATGTCATCAAGTTGCCATGCCACTGTCTGCGCAACCCCCCCCCCCCCTCCCTGGGAGGGGGAAGGGGGACCCCCAGGTCCTCATGCCAGTGATGCAACTGGCAATTCTTAGGCTGGATGTCAAAAACATGTGAAAACACCGCCAACCAGAGGGAGGAAGGGAGGGAGGGATCCCGGGAAGCCTCTGGGTCTCACCCAGAAAATGGCGTTTCATTACATTCAACGCTGGTTTTCTGGGGAAAGCCCCATCTGCTCCCCGGTGCTAACTACCCAAAGACAAGGAAAAGCATAGGGACTCACCTGGGAGGCGGACAGTCCTCACTCCTCAACGCGAAGTTGAAACATCTGGCTGCAACTGCCGGCCCAATGCAGCGCAGGCCCTACCAGGTCCAGGGACACTGACAAGGTAGCGAGTGGCCAGGACTCTGTTCGACCTTAAAAAACCCATGCCCAAATGTCAACCCAAAACATGTTGCCAAAGACGGCAGCCAAAGTAGCAAACTTTTGAACATTGTGGGCACGGGAATAGAACGCAGGCTGGCTAGACTTAATAACCCTGTGGACAACCTGAGAGACCCGAGCCTGTGAACAGGGAAGGAGGGAAACTGGCTCAACCCAAAGAGCATCCCCGACCACTGAAGCCGTGGCGCGCAAATAATGGTGGAGAGCTGCAGCCGGACATAGCACATGATGCACCCCCAGCTTGACCAACCAAGCATCAACAACCCAAGGACCCCTCCAGAAAGCAGCAGTCTCATTGTTCGCCTGAAAAGGAGGAGACAGCTTCATCCAAACAAACCTAACAACCAAACAAATCCTATCTGCTGAAAGAAGTGGAGCCGCAGAAAATGCGCAAAGGGTTTGGGCACCGAACAAACAGTGTCTGAAACTAAGGCTGGGCTGGCCACTACGGGGCCAGAAGGAGAACCCTCCCCCAAAATGACTCGAGCTGAGCCAGAACCTGAAGTAACAGCTGAACTGGGGGAAAGAGGTACAGATAACCCTACCTCGACCAGTCCAGCCAAAAAGTGTCTACTGTTAAAGCTTCGCAGTCGAGGAAAGGCACCATATATACGGGGAGATACCTCGACTATGCCGACGCGAAGACAGAGGGAGAGACAAGGATGGGCCTTGTCTGGGATTCTCAGATAGCGTCCAAGTCCAAACCCGAGATGGAACCAGATGAGACTTCCTCCATTTTACCAGGAACTTCCTCCAGTTCACCTGAACCCACCAAGCTGGGAAAGAACCAAAACTCCTGGCGAGCAGACACGCGGACTGGCTGGGAGCCCAGACCAACCAGTCGTCAAGGTAGGCCAAAATCCAAATACTGTACCTAGAAGATGCAGACGGACCACCATGACCCAGGTAAGACGTGTGAAAGTGTGAGATGCCAGATTCAGCACAAAAGGAAGGCAACGAAAGCAGTAAGCCTGCTGTTCCACCACAAAACCTAACCAGTCCCTGAAACCCGGATGAATAGGATGTGCCAATACACATCCCGGAGGTCCAGAGACACCATCCAAGAACCCGTGGACCTGGGACAGAGTAGTCATCTGAAAGGAGGGACAAGGAATCTAGGGGTTCAGATGGGACAAGTCCAGAATGAACCGCAGATCCACACAGTCTAGTTTCGGCACTGGAAACAGGCGGGAAACCCACCTGAGAGACAAGTTCGTTTCAACCACGCCCAAGTGCATCCACTCCAGGATGACCCGACAAAGCGAAAGGGAAGAAACCTGCTCTGCCAGTCTCGAACCCCCCAGATGGGAAGGAACGCCTCAACTCCATCACAGGTCAGAAGGCACGATATCAAATGCCCACAAACCAAGCATTGGCAAACAGAGCCAGCTGGCCCCCCTCAACGACCCACCAGCGGGGCGAACCCACGAAAGGGCCAGCGACCATTCCAAGAACGCGACTTCCGTGCAGAGCGAACACTGCGCCAACCCGACTAAGATGGTTCCGGAGCACACACCGGCTCAGTAACTGGCACCAGAGGCCTACCTCGACCAGCCGATGCCTGACAACCAACGTATCCAAAAGAGGGCGGCAACTTGCTGCAGCCGCCTGGAGAAACTGAGACACAACTGAATCTTGGAAGGGGGACAAAAAGAAGATGTGAACCTAAGAGCCAGGGCCCAAGCAGAATCCACAGAGAGGGTGAGGACAGCCTTCCATCATGCAAGGCGAGTGGCATAAAACAAGGAAACAGCCTCCAGGAGGATAGGCACAAACAGCAAACTGGCTCAAATGCCTCCGTCCCTGCCTCAAATGGAACAACCCTGGAGCTACCAGAGCTTTATCCCCAGCTAAACCCTGCCCCAACCCCGAAACACTCAGACGCTTGAGAGCCGGAAGAAGGGGAAGAGAAGAACGGTGAACCACACCAACAAAGAAAGGACGAAGGGACATGGACAGAACCAAGACCGAAGCAACCAACGCCCCCGAGTAAGGGTCCCTATAACTAAAACGAGGCAGCCCCAGGGCATTCGAGTGGGCAACCAACCATACGTGTTGCAGCAACCTAAACCTAGCATGCAATGTACAAGCTGCTTGATTCCTAACCTCAGCTGTAGCAGTATGGGTAAATTAGAGTTCGAGTAGAGAACAAGTCTCACAAAACTCCAGGTCGAAGGTGTCGTCGACCCAACAAGTAGCATGATGGAGGCAAGTACAGGTGATTGTCACCCTGCTTCAGGGACACAGAGCAACCCTCAAACACACACAGGGCAAGATGGGATTCAGAAGACACATCCATCTCATCCAACTAAGCCCTGACGGGGTTTTCCAGGGCCCACAGGAGGTTGTTTCCCTATGGGAAGCCCAGGTGCTGGACTGCCAAAGCTGGTTGTATCCCCTGTATATATCTAGGCAAACTGGACCCTGTGAAGTGAACCTTCCCTGAGGCCCAGAGGAGCCGGAAGGAGCCCTACTGAACCTAGATATCGCCTAATATAGACTGTGGAGGCCTCCCAATGTGCAATAAAGCAAACTAATGAATGAAAGAGAACTCCGAGGAAGAACCACAACCCAGGGGACCAGAAGAGTCACGGCCACTGTGATTATGCAAGCAGGGCAGCCCTGGGTGCCCCAACCAGTATACAATCACTCCCTACCCAGGGCCAAACAAAAGTACTGGGACCTAAGCTGACGCCATGGGCGAAGAAGCAACCAAGCAACCCTTATGGAAATGGGGACACGAAGGACCCAGAGAAGGGAACTCTGAACCCCAAGGGGAGTACTCACAGGGCACCTAGGGTAGGGAGCCCAAAGCACATGCAGCCCTTGGTACAAACTCCTGGCCACTGCCAACAAGCAAAAGGAACACCAACAGGGTGAACCCAATCAGGTAATCGAGGCCAGAGCAGGTGTCCATCCAGTATAGCTTCAGCCGACAAATTGACTTTCCGGCTGCTGACTTGGTGGGCCAGGACCCCTCTCCCTCCTCCCAGGGGTAGGAGCAGTGGGGGGGGGGGGTTGTGATTATGTGTTGGCGTCGTGCGGTGTGATGACGCGTTGCTTGTTAGCTTGTTTTTCTTTGGAGGAGTTTCTAGCCTCTGTTCAGTCTGTTTCGAAGTGCCTACCTTTCTGGGTGCTGAACCCCGGTAGATGGCAGACATGAATATTTTTATTCATAAGAGTTTCATAGGCCATTGCATCCTTCGCTTCTCTGAGGGGACCATGTTCTGGCTAGTGGTCCCCAGAAGTCATGACAACTTTATAAGACTGAAGCACAATAATAATATTAGCTAATATCAGTCCAATAGCTGCAAGAAACTGACAGGGCTTCCCTCAGAAACGTTGAATTTTTTATCAAATAAGGAAAATATAAATACTGCAGTTCATCAGCACATTATCACTCATGATAATGTGTTAACATGAAAGTGCTCAAGTCAACTGTGGTTAATGTACATCTTTTCTTTGTGGTTAACTATTTTCACATTATCCATCAAATGTAAATTTCTATATAATTTACACACATACTGTAGTTCATGAATGTACACCATTCAAGACACATGACAAAATGAGCTTTAAGAGGAAGTCAAGAATTAACTTATAATATTATGAAAAATTATTTTATCATTTGAAGAGCTTACATGTTGGGCAATTTTCTTCATCGGAGAGATCATAACATTGAGGATATCCATCACATCGAACTTGAATTGGAAGACAGGTCCCATCTAAACAAGTCCATTCCCCTTGCCTACAAGCTACATATAATGAAGAAATCATGCATTAGTAAAGCAATTAGTCTAATAATAAATGCATGCAGAATTAGATGTACTGTACCATAAATGCATGCAGAATTAGATGTACTGTACCACAAATGCATGCAGAATTAGATGTACTGTACCACAAATGCATGCAGAATTAGATATACTGTACCATAAATGCCTGCAGAATTAGACATACCATAAATGCACTACTAGACAATACACAGTACTGTACTGGACTCCCACTTTAACATAAATCAATGCACCATAAAACCTATTGCAAGAGGAGCCCATCTGGTGGCACAGTTGTTAAAAGGAGTATTTAATTGCAGCAGAAATCAATGGAAATCTTCCAGTGGAGTAAACCAATCGGGTAGAATACCTGGAGAGAAACGATACAGCAACAGACAGTATGGCTTTTTAACAGAATATCCTATGTAACAAATCTACTTAGTTTATATGATAGAGCCATAGAGATTTTACAGGAAGGAGATGATTTGGTTGACTGTGTTTATCTGGGTCTAAAAAAGGCGTTTGACAGAGTCCCACACATGAGACTGTTCTGGAAACAAACGTGCTGGAGTAGTGACAGGCAGCCTGGTGATATGTTTGAAAAATTTTCTAACCAAAATAACGATGAAGGCAGTAATCAAAAACCAAGTATCAGACTGGGGAAGTATTACTAGCAGAGTACCACAGGGTTCAGTTCTGGCACCAGTAATGATCATCATCTATATAAACAATCTACTAGAAGGAATACAGAACTATATGAACATGTCTGCTGATGACACTAACTAGGGAAGATAAGAGACTTAGAGGATTGTCATACCTAACATGATCTGGACAAAATACATATATGGAGCAACACTTAGCAAAAGAATTCACAGTGAATATATTCCATGTTATAGAATGAGGAATATGAGAAAAAATGCCATACATAGCCTAAAAATTATGTGGAAAGCCATTAAATAATTCTGACAAAGAAAGAGATCTTGGGGGGTTCTGGATAGTAGACCATCAATAGAGGACCAAATAAAGGACATTGTGCAAGGAGCATATGTTATGCTTTCCAATTTTAGAATCTCTTTTATATACATGGATGGTGAAATATTAAAGAAACTGTTCACAATCTTTATGAGACCAAAACTAGAATATGCAGCAGTTGTATGGTGCCTGTATCTCAAGAAGCATATCAATAAACTGGAAAAAGTGCAAAGACATGCTTCAAAATGACTTCCAGAACCAAAAAATGATAGTTACAAAAAGAGCCTAGAGGTGTTAAATATGCTAATAGAAGATAGGTGATATGATCACGACATACAAAACAGTAACAGGAATCAACAAAATTGACAAAGAGAAATGCTTATGGAGGGATTATGGAAGGATTGTGGATTAGTTTTTGCAACTTGACGAACATGAGGTCATATTTTCAAGCTAAGAAAATAAAGGTGCAGAAAAATATTATAAAGTCCTCTTTTTGCAAACTGAGTTGTAGATGGTTTGAACAAGTGTGGAGATGGTGGAGGCCAAAACTGTCAGTAGTTTCAAAGTGTCACATGACAGAGCACTGGGAAGACGAGACACCACGAGCATAGCTCTCACGCTGTAACGACACTTAGATAATTCCACGCACACACACACACACACACACACACACACACACACACACACAAGCTTCACAAGGAAAGAATATTTAAAATGAAAGTACAAGTGAAAATTTGTAGAACAAATGGGCTCAAGAGACTGCACAGTAAGTACTATGCTCATATGAGGCAAGACAGGTAAGCAAATGAAAATAATACAGACTGAATGTTGTGGAGACAAGCACCATCTATAACTAATATCAGGCACAATAAACATACAGCATGACAGCATATAATTATATCTAATAGTAAAACTTCACTACAGACACAAGGTAAGAGAATATAGATCAAAACACTAAAATAATAATTAACCATTACATTTGCTGCATCACCCAACCATCATAAAGTAGATATGTGGCCTTTACTAACCTACTGGGCAGTTCACCTCATCAGACTTGTCAAGACACTCTGGTACTCCATTACAACGAGCAGTTTGGAGCACACAAGAACCATCTACACACGTCCATTCGTCCGGGCGGCAAACTACATGGAAAATGTCATGCTTACAAATTTACGATTCAGTATAATACAATTTAAATATTAAATTCAATGCAGATGAAGAAGTTAGAGCAGATGTTAACATTATGTTGTTATACTTAAAGCTATTCAAATATATCTTCTCTTATTAAATGTACAATTGCTGAGCTGCACCACTTAAATTACTTCATTGAGCTAGGTCTTTCTGCTCTTATAGACAGGGTTAAGCAAGGCAAGGTCAACATTCTGCAGCAGAACAACAGAGATCTTTCTGAATGTCCCGGTCAGGATATACTGATGCAAGTGAAGTACTGGAGAATACTAAATACATCATAAAATGAACTCAAGAAGGTTAATTCATTTACACTTAACCATTAAAATGTGACTTATCAAAGCTGCTACCCCTGACAGTGAAAAAAAAATAGAAATTAAAAAAATTAATTTTCTTATGAAATGGTTTGTCTAATTATTTAAATGTCATTTAAAGTGTAATTACTCATTATTTACAGAAATTCAAATTGAGCAAACAAAAGACTACAAACTCAGTTGAAAATACCACTATATTTTTTGCAGATGATATGTCACAATAACGTGGCTGAAGATATAACAAACCACACATCAGAATAAGAAGAAACGGAGACATTTCAGTCCGTCCTTGGCCATTATCAAGTCGTGAGTGAATACACAACTTGATAAGGGTCCAGGACGGACCAAAACGTCTCCGTTTATTCATATTATTCATACATCCATGACCATTTTCATTTTGTTAGCTTACTTCTCCTTTAGTATTGTTTTACCCCCCCCCCTCACACATTTGGTTAAATTTTTTTGTCTATTTTATGTTTTTGCCCGAAATGCCTTACTTAATAGCGGCCTCATAGATTGTGTAACTCCTGTCATTACAAGTGTACATTACTCTATGTTCTTTGTAAACATTCTTTTGAATAAAAATTTAATTAAATTGAATTGAGTTAAGCTTTGTTGACACTATCCACACTTCATCTCATACTTCCTCACTAAGTCTACCCATTTTCTTGGCCTCTCTTTACCTCTCTCTCATTTCCTCCTAAAATTTACATTAAGGAGCTGCACCACTTAATTACTTCATTGACCAAGGTCTTGCTCAATGAAGATGCACCAATCTATCATCATCCTTTCACTCAACATAACCAAAACCATTTCAGAATATTAATCAATCTCATAATTTACCAACTTTAAAAATGTCACATCTTTCCTTGACATTTTCACATCTTACAGTACTTTGTTAACACTACACATGCTCCCAAGACTGCAAGCTTCTACTGGTCCAAATCTTAATTGTGTCATACTCATGCAACACAGCATCCCACATCCATACATTAAAGTAGGCAATCATACTGTTAACAGATGCTGTATACTGGATACTTTTGGAAGGGCACCTTTAGTCATCCCAATTGTTCAGAAAGTTATAGTGACCACTACAGTGCCTGCTGTGGTACACACAATACACCTTTAAGAGTTTATTCTTCTAGTCAACATCACCTGAGTGGGTGAATTGATGCTTTTACTTACTACTTTTTCTATATACATTATTATTATTATACATGTTGTGTACACTTTCCCTGATGGTGGGTGTGATTATTCAGTGAGTGCACTGGAAAAGTTACCAACCTGGTAGGGGACAGCCATCTTCATCAGAGCCATCAAAACACTCTACCCTTCCATTACATTTTGCTGATGCTGGTAGACATGATCCATCAGAACATGTCCATTCATCAGATCTGCATCCTATATAAATTAGAAATACAGTACCAGTATTGCATTTAAGACAATGAGAGCTCAATCTAAGTAATCTTTGAATTATAGACTCTTCTACATTACAGCTAAAAAAAAAAAAGAGCAGGTCAAAGGTGATTCTCCAGTGAGGAAGGGGAGGACTAAAAGCCCCCAAAAAAACCTATTTAATGCATTATTTCAAGTGGAGGGTGAGTGAACCAGCATGCCCTAGTATGCTAAAAAACAAGGAGTCATCAGCACAAAAATGAAAAGTCAGAATGTAATACTGCAGCCTGAAAGCAGCAGCTTTGGACAAATAAATACATATATGCCAAGCCCCAAGGCACGAATAACCAACCAGTTTGCTCTGAAGGAAAGCAACAACGTAAAACCTACGAAGTGGGAAGAAACCAAATGCTTCACACGTATCTACAAGTGCTGAGGAAAAACGCTTAAACAAGGGGAAGAGTATACAAAATATTCCCTACCTGGAGCAACACACACACACTGGCCAGAGGCAAAGGCCCACATTGAAACTGCAAAACCCAGGGATATTCTTCTAACATAAGCAAACAACAAGTTAAACAACCACCTTGAAGCAAGGAAAACTGAGGGTGCCTCTCAGTGGCTTATACACTGGTACCCCAGAGCCAATACCAACACACAGGCATCTGTGACCATTTCAGGATCTTAACACGAGCAAGTATCAGACTCCTATTTCCCTATCAAGAGACAAGGGAGCTAAGGAAGTCAGAAAATTCCACACACAGAGGAATTCCTGCCAAAATAGCTGTAAAGATATTCACCAAAAATCTAAACTTTCAGAAAAATATTTGGTACGAACGAATACTAAACGAAAAATTATCCCAAATACAAAAGAAACCATTATGGATGGTCTGACTGTAACCGAAAAGCTCGTGAGGATCACCTGGCATAGTCTGATAGGACAGACTCTATAATGAGCCATTACCAAATAGAGAAGTCCCTAAAAACTGGAAGGCTGTATATGTGGTTCCCATATTCAAGAAGAGACACAAGCATGGGGCCCTCAAACTTCAGATCAGAATCTAACATGCTTCCCATATAAATTATTACACATGATAATTATTAAGAGGCATGTAGAGGAATGACTATGTAACCAGGAGGTAGCATGGTTTTTCGAGGTGGCATGACACACTTGACAAATCTTAGCGAGCTCTACAACAGTCACCAAGATACTACAGGCAAGAGAATGATGGGTAGATGGCATCATTTGAGATTTCCATAATGCCTTTGACACTGGCCTTCATAAAGGCTGATTCACAAGTTGGGAGAGCAAGGAAGTGTAATTGGGAAGATACTCGAAAAGATTACAGAGTATTTGACAAACGGCAAACAGAACAGTCTAGTGAGACAGGGTCAGAGTGAAGGGGCGTGACAAGAATCATCTGACCCCTTCGCCCTGAAGGGGTCAGATGATTCAAAACTGATGAGAAGGGTAAGAACCAAAGAACTGAAGTTTACTGAAGTTTACTACTATTCTACTGGCTACTGAAGGCTACTGAAGTTTATCCATTCAAATGTAATATGATTTGGGAGAGGGGGAAAAAAAAAAAGAGGCCAAGACAGTACAATACACAAGATAGGCATTTGTAGAATAATACAAAACAGAAGATGAACTTTGGAGTGGATATAATACCAACCTTAACACTTTCGCGCTCTCGGCGCTCAAAAAAAAACAATACCCCAGATGCTTTCGGCACTTCGCGCGCCTACGCGGTAAGACCGAAAAAGTGTACACTCTTTTGACTGTCCTGACAATAATTGAAGGCGCACGTATTTAAATTTGGTATCACTGTGTTCGCAATGAAATTGTCTATAAGAGCATACCTATAAAATGCCGCCCAAGCATAAGGAGTATCAACACCAAATAAAAAACTATGCAGATCACTCGTCGAGAGCGCCAAATAGCAACAAAATGTTTCCACTCTCTTAATGGTTGCGAAGCCTACAGTTGTCCTACATCGCTAATTTTGGTATCATTTGAATCGCAATAAAATTCTCTACACGGACATATGCATATGAATGTTTAATATAGGTAATTGCCCACCCGCAAGAGTGTGTGAAGTGGAGAGTAGTTATCCGCGAGCGCACTGGCGAAAACACAGGGGGAAATTATGCTTGGAAAGTTTATACGTTTCCTGACCCTACTTTTCTATGTACGTATTTCCTTTTTATACCAATGTGTTCGCAATAAAATTTTCTATAAGATGAAATGATAACATTTGTACAAAGCATGTGTAAGAGAAGCGCCAAATATAGAACCACGTCGCTCAGTATGCGTTCGCGGCAGAAACGAACGCATTGTTTTCGTTCGTTTGATGTTTGTCATGTTTATACTTGTTGAAACATTTTATAATTTGTATGACAGTGATCGCAGTAAAATTCCCTACACAGACATATACATAACACATACAAATATTTCCCACGTGTTGGATATATCAACGGCTAAAGGGAACCCACTGCCACACGCTCGCCACACCCCCAAACATACTTTGTGTATTTTTTTTTTTACTCATAGAAGTTTGTGATATAATATTCATTCTGGTACCAAAAAATTCGCAAATAAATTCTCTACAAAACGTATATAATCTGAGAGTATCCCCATCCATTTCGGTTAAAAAATGGAATTTATAGAAATATTTTTTCGATGGACGAGAAAAGTAGGCTGTTATGCGGAATCGTACGAAAAAACGGCGACGAGTTATCTCTAATCTAAAGCGCGAAAGTGTTAATATCAAATGAATATATCAACAGAATAACATCCAGAGCATTTGAAAATGGGCAACTGTAAGACTGGCATTCTAGAATTTAAGCAAAGAATCCTTCAGAATACTACTCACAGCATACATTAGCACAGCCCTAGAATATGCATCTCCAGCATGAAATCCCCACCTGATAAAAAAAACTAGAAAATCAAGGAAGTCCACCATATATGAGATACAAGACTAGTTCCACAGATTAGATAGATGAATTATGAGAACAGGCTAAAAGAGCCAAGTCTTACAAATTTAGCAGAGAGAGACCAGTGATGATACGATCACAACATACTGATCAAATCTGAGAAAGTTTATAGAGTTGGTCTTTTCCAGACAGAGGGACAGCAGAGTGAAAGGGTACAGCTTGAAGATGAAAACAAAAATGAGCCCAAGAAATGAAAGGAAATATTCTTATGCAATATGGGTGATAAACAAATGAAATGAGAATGAGGTACAAGATAAGGTTGATGTAGCTTAATCCCGGTATAATGTAAAGTTCACCAACCTGGTGATGGGCATCCTACTTCATCAGAACCATCACTACACTGCGCAATGCCATCGCATCGCTGCTCATCTCCCACACATGAGCCATCTGTACAAGTCCATTGCTCAGCTGTGCATCCTAAGTAGGTTAAAAATATTATGTCAGGCTATAATAGGTAAGTAAAATTTGAATTATACTACCATTAACATTCTCTCATAAGAAAGAATAAAACCATATACAGTACTGTTAATGCATGCATTCTTTCTAAGTAATATACAATACAAAAGTAGTCAAATGTGTTAGGTCTATAAACTTGCACAACGAATCAAATGGCAATACTCATCAGAAAACTGCAAAACTATGCAAACTTGGGTAATTAATTAAGCAACATAAACATACAAACTTTTACAATGACGCAAAACATAACAATGCAAACTTTCACAACACATGAAAACATAATTTTACAAACTTTCACAAGAAATCAAAGCATAACTATGCAAACTTTCACAACAAATCAAAGGAAAAATAGATAATTTAATAGCATAATTATGAACATTTTTACAACTACAAATCAAAGATTATAACTGTAACTATAATCTTGTAGAGTCAAAATATTAAAAATTATTAATTCTAGGAGCATACAGGAAACTCATGTTAGTTTCCCCTAATAGCCTTATAAAGATCTTGGCAAATGGTCTTGACATGAGTAAAATATGGATAGGTGAAGATAATGATGAGTAACTGAAGCTATCACCAAAGGATCAGCACAACAGAGCAATACCCGCAACACTCCTAACAAGCTCTCATTGGTAAAACAGAGAATACTAATTAGTACTCGGCAAACAACTGAAACAAACTACGTCACCAACCACCACCAGGTAGCAGCACCCTTCAAGAAATTAGGGTTGGAGGCTGGAGGCAGTAGGCTCCTTACTTTACGACAGTGCCCAACCAATCAATATTTCGAGCTCTTCAGTGGTCAATAAACTAAATTTTGGTAAATTTTCCACTATGCACAAGACAGGGTAAAATAACAGTAGCAACTGTCTTAAGAAAATTAGGTATCCAGGGGTAATAAAACAATCATTGCCACTGTGTAAACACCCTGACTGTGATGCAACTCATTACAGGTAATTATTTGACTCCTCCTCTAAGTGGATGTGCAGGTCATTCATAGTTCCATCTAGCCTACTTCCTCACTCGACTGGTCACAACAAAGGAAGCATGTAAGCTCAAACAGCAACCATTTTCTGCTTTACACATTCAGCCGAAGGCATTGTTACTGTTTCTTTTCTCCATTATGACTGTGTTTTGTTACCCACTCAGTGCTGCAGCTCTATGTTTTGCACTGAAAGTGAGTCAGGATTTCCTTCACTGGTAGTCAGCTGGTGTTTTCCCTTGTCCCACCAGAGATACCTGTTCTGAAGAGCTTTGGTTTGCACTTTACAAGTTAGTTGATGCCTGGGTAACAAAAAATTAATGGTTTTTCTGATTATGCCTGTCACCTTACTCTTTACTGAGTCAATTCTGCATTTTCAACTAAATCTTTCATTCAAGTAAGTTGTTATTCTGTGATGCAATTTGAGAAGACCATTTACAAGGGTACTTATTAGGCCAGGGAGGAAGATCACAAAATCCTAGCCTCATGAATATCTTGGTAGGCCAAATGATCCTGACTAGGGAAGCATTCAAAGGATTGCTCCATAAGTAGTGTTTCACTAAGAGGTACAGTATTTAACATTCAGTACCTTTCTTCCTTCCTTGGGAAAGAGTGATCGTGTCTGGTTGGACATTAAATATGCTTTGCGGTACAATCTAGTAGAGAATGGTGGGGGGGGGGGGGCGGCACTGAAATAGTTGATGAACTCAATTTCAAGAGAGGACGCTATGGGGAACTTATAAAAAAAATTTCGACAGACTTGTTGCGAGGCAAGGAAGTAAATGAGATGTATGCCAAATTTTGCATAATATACAATGAAGGCACACAAACATTCATACCAAAACAGAGATGCAGACCTGGGAAACAGGGTTGGTTCAACAGAAATTGCGAGAGGGCCAGAGATCAAAAGACACAATCATGGAATCATTATAGAAAGAGGCCAAACCCCCAAACATACCAGCGATACAAAGATGCGAGAAACAACTACACGATAGTAAGGAGAGAGGCAGAGAGGAACTTTGAGAATGGTATAGCAAACAAATGTAAATCAGATCCAGGCATTTTCCATAAATTCATTAAAAGCAAGCTGCAAGTAAAGGATAATATTCAGAGGTTGAAAATGGGAGATAGATTCACGGAAAATGAAAAGGAAATGTGTGAAACATTAAACGAAAAGTTCCAAAGTGTGTTTGTACAAAATGAAATCTTCAGGGAACCAGACACAATAAAAATTCCAGAGAACAACATAAAGCACATACAGGTGTCTAGAGACGAAGTGAAAAAAATGCTCGTGGAGCTAAGTAAAAACAAAGCAGTTGGCCCAGATGGAGTTTCACCATGGGTCCCAAGAGAATGTGCACCTGAGCTCAGCATTCCACTTCAGCTGATTTTTCAGGCATCCCTGTGCAAAGGAGTCGTAGCTGATGTGTGGAAAAAAGTTAACATAGTTCCAATCTACAAAAGTGGCAGCAGGGAGGGAAGACCCCCTCAATTATAGAACAGTATCATTGACAAGTGTAATAGTCAAAATATTGGAAAAATAATTAAAACTAAATGGGTGGAACACCTAGAGAGAAACGATACAATATCAGACAGACAGTATGGTTTTCCATCTGGAAGATCCTGTGTATCGAATTTACTCAGTTTCTATGATCGAGCCACAGAGATTTTACATGAAAGAGATGCATGGGTTGACTGCATCTATCTGGAACTAAAAAAAGGCTTTCAACAGAGTTCCACACAAGAGGTTGTTCTGGAAACTGAAACATATTGGAGGGGTGACAGGTAAGCTTCTAACATGGATGACTAATTTTCTGATAGAAAAATGAGGGCAGTAATCAGAGGCAATGTATCGGACTGGAGAAATGTCACAAGTGGAGTACCACATGGTTCAGTTCTTGCATGGGTGATGTTCATTGTCTACATAAATGATCTGCCAGATGGAATACAGAATTATATGAACATGTTTGCTGATGATGCTAAGATAATAGGAAGGATAAGAAACTTAGATGATTGTAATGCCCTTCAAGAAGACCTGGACAAAATAAGTATATGGAGCACCACTTGGCAAATGGAATTTAATGTGAATAAATGCCATGTTATGGAATGTAGAATAGGAGAACATAGACCCCACACAACCAATAAATTATGTGGGAAATCTTTAAGACTTCTGATAAAGAAAGAGATCTAGGGGTGGTTCTAGATAGAAAACTATCATCTGAGGATCACAAAGAATGTTGTGCGAGGCGCCTATCCTACGCTTTCTAACTTCAGAATTGCTTTTAAATACATGGATGGCAAAATACTAAAGAAACTGTTCACAACTCTTATCAGGCCAAAGCTAGAATATGCAGTGGTTATATGGTGCCCATATCTTAAGCAGCACATTAACAAACTGGAAAAGGTGCAAAGACAAGGCACTAAGTGGCTCCCAGAGCTGAAGGGCAAGAGCTACAAGGAGAGGTTAGAGGTATTAAATATGCCAAAACTTGAAGATAGAAGAAAAAAAAGAGGCGATATGATCACTACGTACAAGATAGTAACAGAAATCAATAAAATTGATAGGGAAGACTTACCGAGACCTGGAACTTTGAGAACAAGAGGTCATAGATTTAAACTAAACAAAGATGCCTAAGAAATATTAGAAAATTCACTTTTGCAAATAGAGTGGTAGACAGTTGGAAAAAGTTAGGTGAGGTGGTGGTGGAGGCCAAAACCGTCAGTATTTTCAAAGCATTATACAACAAAGAGTGCTGGGAAGACAGGACACCATGAGCATAGCTCTTATCCTGTAACTACACTTAGGTAATTACTACGCTCAAGACAATACAGTATTTGTTTTCAACCTGAAAACTCTGAAGCAACACTTTTTCAATCCTCAACTTAACAAAGTTTTACTCAAATCCAGACACTTAAAATGAAAATAAATAATTTATATCTGATTTAAAGCAAGTGAGCTATAAATCCAATTTTGGTATTAAATTTTGTAAATATTTTAAATATTTTATATTATTAATGCATATTTATAAAACTCTATAAAGAGATCATGATCCAATTTTCAAAGTTATGATTTTAAGTAAATAAACACTTATATTTTATAGGATATTCATTTCACAAAAACTGTTCACACATTTGTAAACATTTTAAGTGTCAATATAAATGTTTCACTAAAATACAAATCAGATAAATCATGAGAAAACTAAAATAGAGCACACAGTATAATGTGTGCTCTATTTTACAGAATAATGTACAGTATAATGAAACACACATTACCAGGGGGGCCCTCGGCAGCTTGTCATAGTTTGTGAACTGGTACTCCAGGTCCAATACTATCTCACTAGGTCACTTTGAGGAGGCAGGATGATGGTCATTGGTCTCTGTGAGATTGTATTATTCCTGGAGTGCCAGTGCATGACCTCTGACATGCCACTGAGGGGGGGGGGGAAGGGGGGGAAAGGGGGGGGGGGTAAACCCAAGAATCTTGTTTGAAAAAATCTACTTTAAGGAACGCGTTAGAATATGTGACTTACGTCACAGAAATATATCTAAGTTAATGCACTGCTATTTGTATTTTATGTAAAAGGCAAAATTTATTAATATTAAACCCCTACATAATGAAAAGTTTACCAACCAGGTGGACAGTTATTTTCATCAGAGCCATCACTACACTGCTGCAGTCCATCACAGAGTGCTTCTCCTCTCACACATGAGCCATCAGAGCATGTCCATTCTCCAGGTCTACACCCTAAATTAAAAGTATTGTGTCTAAGGGTACAAGACCTTGGTGTAAGTAAGCTCTAAATTGCTTTGATTAGTAAACATTTTCCAATAACAGAAGCCTATTTATTACAAATGCATTCTCCCTTAAATTGTAATAAGCAAGCAAAAGTAATCACATGCAAACTTGAATGCCTAGTCAAAAAGCTTGCAATGAATGTAATGAAATGCCAGTTTCTGGGTGAGCCCTGGAGACTCCCTGAAGCTTTCCTACTGATACAGAGCTATATTAGTTGGGGTCATCAGTCACAGTTCTTGTTGCTTACCAGGAACCAGAGCCAGAATCTGGCCCCCTCAGAGAGGCGCAGAGAGCAATAGCCTATGAGCACTTTACATTTAAACTACGTCATATTTTGCCATCTACCAGGGAAGATGTATTAAATTAAATTAAGTGAACAGAACTTCCTCAAAGTTCATTATTCATGCATTCAGGAGGGAGCTGTGCAGATGTGCGGTGCGGCTCTTGTGACATCATGTTTGTTTGCTCGTTTATATTTGGGGAGTTCTGTCCACTCATTTGTCTCTTTTCGTCGTTTTAACCAAAATAGGAGTTTGTTTCGAGCCACTTACCTTTCTGGGTGCCTGTCCCGGTCTATGACAGATATACAATGCTCCAAATCACACGTGCATTTTTATAGGCCATTGCTCCTCGTGCCTATCTGAGGGGGGCCAGGTTCTGGCTCATGGTCCCCGGTAGGCCTAGAACTCCATACACACTGATTGATGTCAAAGTTTAGTGATATACATATCAGCCTGGATAGCTCCAGGGAGCCGAAGGGGCTCCCCCCAGAAATATATAATTTTGTAAATGAAACCAATTATCACTACGAGGACTGTTTCTAACTACCTTGTACTGGTATTTTTCTATTTTTATATTTTGAATTTTGTATTTTACAAAATGC